CAAGGCATTTCAATTCAGAAAAAGGACAGTCTTCAACAAATGGTGCTGGGACAATTCAACAACCACATGCAAAAATATGAATTTAGACCCTTATACATACCATATACAAAAATTAACTCAAAATAAATCACAGACCTAAAAAAGTTTTAGCAGTAAACATAAGAGCAAACCTTTTTGATATTGTGTTAGGCAAAAATTTCTTAGATACATTATTAGAGGCACAAGCAAGGGTGCCTGGTGGCTCAGTTGATTACGTAAGTAATCTGACTTCAGCTCAGGTCACGATCTTGTGGTTCTGAGTTCGAGCACCATGTCAGGCTCTGTCTCAGATCCTGGAGCCTGTTTTGGATTCTGTGTCTCCCTCTCTCTCTCTGCTTGCTCGAGCTGTATCTCTCAAAAATAAATACACATTAAAAACAAGGCACAAGCAATAAAATTTGATGACTTGGATTTCATCAAAATTGAAAACTTTTTCAGTTCAAAAGACAGCATGAACAACATAAAAAGTGAAGCCACAGACTGGGAGGAAATGTTTGTACACCATATATCTAATAAAGGACTTCTATCTGGAACATGTAATGGGCAGTTTGTAACTCAACAAGTAGACAATCCAGTTTTTTTTTTTTTAATAAAAAAGCTGTACACAAACATTCCTGGCAATTTTATTTATAAAAGCCAAAATCTAGAAAAAAAACCCAGATATCTGTCAGTGGGTGAATTGCTAAACAAACTGTTGTACATCTGTGCTATGAATACCACATGGCAATAAAAAGGAATGGACCATGGATACACTCAGTAACGTAGATGATTCTCAAAAGTATGCTGGGTGAAAAAGGCCAACCCTCAAAGGTTACATACCATATGACACAACTTACATATCATTCGTGAAAGTGCAAAAATTATAGAACATGAACAGTTTAATGGTTCCCAGGGATGGAGGGAGGAATTGTTATAAAAAGATAACAGGAGGGGCGCCTGGGTGGCTCATTCAGTTAAGCCTCCACCTCTTGATTTCGGCTCACTTCATGAGTGCACAATTGAGTCCCAAGTCACTTGAGATTCTCTTTCTCCCTCTCTCTCTCTGCCTCTCCCCCTATGGCACTTTCTCTCTCTCTCTCTTTCTCTCTCTCTCTCCTTCTCTGTCTCCTTCTCTCAGAATAAATATTTTTTTAAACAGACAACAGAAGGAATCCTTGTAGTGATGTAAGTGTTCTTTGTCTATCGTTGTAGTCATATAAACCTACACCTATGCTAAAATTGCATAGAACTAAATTCACACACACACATGAATACATGAATGACTGAAACTTGGAGTAAGTTGAGTAGATTGTGTCATGTCAGTTTTGTGGTTGTAATAATGTACTATAGTTATGCAAGATGCTACCATTGACAAACACTGAGTAAAGGGTAAACAGGACCTCCCTGTATTATTTTCTACAATTATATATGAATCTCTAATTATTTTGAGAAAAAGCTTAAGTTAATAAATAAGACAAAATATTTGAACAGACATTTCATCAAAGAAGGTATATAAGTGAAAAACAAGCACATGAAAAGATGCTCCACATCATTAGTCATTAGGGAAATGCAGAATAAACCTACAATGTGAGATACTTCATACCCACAAAAATAGCTATAATAAAAAAGAAAATAACAAATGTTGGAGAGAATGTAGAGAAAATGGAACTCTCATACATTGCTGGTGGGAATGTAAACTGACTGATGTATCTTGAAAAACAGTTTGGCAATTGTCTTAAAATCAACAGTCTTACCATATGACCCAATAATTCCACTCATAGATATCTACCCTTAAGAAATTAAAACATTTTCACACAAGGACATGTATGTGAATTTTCGTAGAAGCATTTTCATAATTTCCATAATGTGGAAGCAGCCCAAATATCATCAATTAGTGAATGGGTAAACAAAATGTGATATATCCTTACAATGGCATACTATTTATCAATTAAAAGAAATGAAGTACTCATACAAGACACAATATAGATAAACCTCAAAAACACTGTACTAAGCAAAAGAAATTAAACAAAAGACCACATTTGTATTATCCAATTTATCTGAAATATCCAAGAAAAAAATCTATAGAGACAGAAAGTAGATTAATTATTGCCTGGAGCTAGGGGTCAGAATGGAGAATGAGTGAAAATGGGACAATGATTTCTTTTGGGTGTGACAGAAATGTTCTAAAATTAGCTTGTAGTGATAGTTGCACGACTGTAAATTTACTAAAATCACTGAACTGCACACTTTGACAGAGAGAGAAAAGGAAGTAAGTTACAGTTCTTTTCAGCTGTTCTATATTGAAACCCCCTCAGATGGCCTGTGACCTGTGACCTTTTGCCTCACATCCCCATTTAGACAGGGTAATTACCCCCATGCCCTGCTTACCTCATCAGACAGAAAGTTATAAGGCCTGCTTTCTTCTCTACCCACTCCTAGCTTTAGTATTTTTGATGGTTGCTAAAGTATCATTTAAGAAGCATGTTGCTCCTTGTGTTTACTGAAAAAATGTGTTTTTCTTGGCTTGCCCAATTCCAAATTCTCCTATAGTTTAGCAAAACAAATTGCTTCTGGAATTATATATGCATTTTCAGCACACTGCATATGCAAGAAAGCAGACAAGCAGATTTGTTCTTTTGATATCTGACTAAACGTCAGAGACCTGTTTCTGTTTTCACTGTGTAATTTCCCTCTCCCTCTCCTCTCCCATCCCCCACATCCATCATTTCTTCACTTTTACCAAAGTTCCCTTATCTCACTTGCACTTATCACCCCTTATATTCCTTTCCCTTTCTCTCCTTCAGATATTCCTTTCTAGCCTAATCCTGACTGGTGAAAAGGAGAAAGTACCATTTAAGTAGTAATCAGCAAAATACTTATCCCTAGAAAGTAATTTAGTGGAACTTTATGGATAATATAATATGTTTGGAAAATTTTTAGTATTTCCTATGGCTTTTTTTTTTGGTGTTTTTTCAATGTTTATTAATTTTTGAGAGAGAGAGAGAGAGAGAGAGAGAAAGAGAATGCACACAAGCAGGGGAGGGGCAGTGACAGAGAGAGAGAGGGAAAGAGTCTGAAGTAGCCTCCAGGTTGTCACTGCAGAGCCTGATGCTGGGTTTAAACCCACTAACTGTGAGATCCTGACCTTAGCTAAAGTCGGATGCTTAACCAACTGAACCACCCAGGTGCCCTAGCTTTTTTTGCTTTTTGAAAGGGAAGAACTGGTGTAAAATACTGATTCGATCTCAAGTCTGTTATTTCATTTCCATAAATGACACATGACACGTTTTTATTAATATTCAAGAAAAGCAGATATATTGTATCTGTCTTATCAGAAGGCAAAATTATTATAAAAAATTTTAGGCTAGCAGATTAAGTTCTCTATACTATGAAAACTAGATTTTATCGCTTATCGATAGTATTGCAACTTATTTTTAAAGTTTCTAAATAAACAAGGTATGGAATACAAAACATTTTCTTCACTTTAATAACACAAACTTGTTGATAATGATAATGGTTTGATCGATGCCTTTTGCAAACTAATTTCTTCCTCTTTCATACATCCTAAATGCTTTGTTCATATTGCTATACTGCTAATGTAATGCTCATCTTAAAGTGCAGCTATTTCTGTTTCCTCAGTCTTACTATCTAATTGGGATGGAGCTGTGGCAAAGCCCTCAGGATTTGTTTTCTTAATTAGCAGCTATGTGACTTTGCTGTCTTAATGATCCCTGAATTATGACATGGATTTCTGTGCTGCTGCTAAGTATTAAGTAGTTTGGGACATGGATTGGAAACTCAAAATATGTGATCTCTGCAATGTTTTAGCAGTTGTGGAGAAGATAGGAAACAATATTTGAATGGAAACTTTTGGACAAAATGTCACCACAGACCTTAACAAATTACTTAAACTTCCTGAAACTCAGTTTTGCCATCTATAAAATGGATATGATAATGCTTACCTCATAGGAGTGTTTAAGGGTTAACAGATATTGCATGTGAAAGAGTCTAGGTCAGTGTCTGGAAGATGGATGATATTAATTAATGTTTCTTTAAGTTGGAATGCTCCCTGCACCCCCTCCATGCCCCTCTCCCCTGTGAAACAAACAAAAACAAACACTCTCCAAACTTCAAACATCTTTCAAGAAACAAACCAAAAGGCAACACTCTATAAAGCCTTTCCAAACAACTTCAGACAGGGTAGCCCTTTGTTTAAGAGCACTGGGCTTTTGAAATCAGAAGAGATTCCCAAGTTTAAAACCAGGTCTGCAATTTAGGAACTCCATGACCTTGGGCACATTACTTATCCTCCCTGCAGCTAGGTTTCCCACCTGTAAGACGAGAACATCCTGGTACATAACCTCATTCAGTTGTGAAGTATTTAATGAGAGAGGCACAAAGAGTGCTTAGCACAGTCCCAAGTCCTCTATTAAGTATTACATAGTAGGAATAGAAGTAGTAATAGAAAATTTTCTCTTCAATGAAGTGTTTATAAAAATGCCTCCCAAGGTTGCAAAATTCTGATGCAAAAGTCTTTTAAACTCTAATGCTGAACAAACCTAAGGGATTGGTATATACCTTGTGATATTTAAAGCAAAGTTCTAACCTCACGTTATGGAATATGCATTCCCTGCACGGGAGGTGGGGGAGGAAATAATAGCTGCTACTAATTAATGGGAAATAAAACCAGAAAATACGTCCCAGGGCACGAGCAGCAGAAGCCCAAAGAACAGTATTAAGCACTGCACCCGCAAACCGGGCCTCAATAACTCCCTGGAATTCACCTCTAACGGCCCCCTTCCTTTCGAGCCGCGCAAGCGTACACAGATTTTGTTCCTTTCTCCCTCATGCCCCCGCCTCCAACACCCCTCATCTGCCTCAACACGCAGGCGCATCTCTTCAAATCCCGTCCCTTCCCCGTCTGCTTTCTCTTCATTTCGTTCCCCCTCCTCTTCCAGAACCTCCGCTGGTACAAACTCTTCTCCGCGAGGGTGGCGGCGATCGAGAGGTCACGTGATGAGCATCCTGCTGCCCAACATGGCGGAGTTCGACACCATCTCAGAACTAGAGGAGGAGGAAGAAGAAGCGGCAACGTCGTCGTCGTCGCCGTCGTCGTCGTCGTCGGTATCGGGGCCCGACGACGACCAGGAAGATGAGGAGGAGGACGAAGAAGAGGAGGAGGAAGAAGAGGAAGAAGAGGAGGAGGAGACGCCACCCCCACCTCGGGTAGTGAGTGAGGAGCATCTGCGGAGATGTGCCCCCGATCCTGTATTGGTGCGGGGAGCTGGCCACATCACAGTGTAAGCAAGAGGGGGGCATAGGGTTTGAAAACGCTGAGATTTGTCGACAGAGGCATGAGAAGGTGATCGAGGGGCCTGTGGAGTGGGGGGAGGGCTGACTGAGGCAGTTAGAAAAGGACACCTGGTCTAAATGGAGAAACCGAGGGAGATAGATACAAAGGAAGTGAGGAGATGCACTGACATCAGGTAAAGAGAGAGTATAAGATGGGGAAGCTAGAGGTTTGAGAGCCAGAGGGATAGGAGTAGAAGTGAGTCTCCTTGTTTCTGTGTATGCTGGCAAGTAAATAGTCTTTAAACTGCAGGATGTACCAGAGGATTCTTTACTGCTGAGATTGGTGTGTAGTGTAACACAGTGACTGCTGTGACATGTGACAAGACCTAGGCTTTCTTCAAAACAGAAACATGATATGTTTTGTGAATAATATTATAGAATATCCACCTACCCACATATTCATTCGTCCATTCTTCCTATCTAATCCGTGTATGAATGAATACAGTAATCCTTTCGATGGTTTAATAATTCCGCATTCTGACGTTCTGTAAATATCACAGGTAGAGGTTCAGATTAAGAGGCAGTTGTGAAAAGTAAAAGAGCAATGGATTGAGAGTAAGGACTCTTGGATGTTAGTCCCAGTTTTGCTTCTTACTGGCCCTGTGACCTTGCTCAGGTTGCTTTCTATTCCTGGGCCTTAAATTCTCCATCTGTAAAATGAAGGGTGAGGGTAGATGATTTCCAAAGCCTTTCAGTTCAGAAATAATTTAAGATACCTACAGGAGATTTTGTATGCCCAAATATAAATATGCAGACATTAAATACTTACAGAAATGAGTCTCCCAGGAGCTGAGGCTGATTTTTTGAAAACTTATGCAGAGTGACTTTAAAAAAAAATTGAAATCCTGGATCATATATAAGAAAATAAAAGTAGGAGAGACCTCATAGCATTGTGGTTGCAAAGCAAAAGAAAATTTTAATGCCTCTCTGGGCTTTAAAGAGTGCTTTTTCTTTTTTATGTGCTTGGGCTGTAAATACATGGAAGTTTGAGTGTGTGTCGCGTTCATCCTCTTAACTTTGCTGTCTTTTACTGCATTTTCCTGTCATTGCCTCTAATTTTGATAATGGCTCACCTGGTCCCTTTGACTTTCAATTGAGTTTGTCTTATCAGAAATCATATAATATGCAACACTTCCCCCCCATGTTAGCTTTTAATTTTAACATGTCAAATGTTTTGATTGTAATATACTTTAGTGATCTTTGCATGAAATATGTTAAGAAAGATTTTGAAATTGTGGAAGAGTATGGGGAGATTTTAGACGTGCTTTTTGTTAGGCAATTATTTTAACACAGTTTTTCTTGGTCCAAGAATTTTGCAGATAGACTACAATGATCAGATGCCAGCTTACTGCGCTGTTTTACTTTTATTCCTTTCATGACTAGGGAGACAATTTATTACTCAAACTAATTATGATTCTGGCACCAAAGGTTACTTTCATGTATATTATTTTACATGACTGAACAGAAAAAGGGTTTTTAATCCAGTCTATAATTTTATATTTCAACATTCCACCCCTTCTTATTTTCTAACATTCAGAAAACAGAGGAGGGGCAAGAAAACAGACTTTAAGTTACCAGAAACTTATTCGTGATTCCATTTTATTGTTTACACAATCATGGTGAAGCACTTATCAACCAACTTTCAAATAAAAGCAAAGCACTGACACTTGTCATATCCAGGCCCTTGTGACAGGTGTAATGTCCCTCCCAGCTTAAAAATTCTAGAATTGGGAGTGTGAAGTAGTGGTGCTGGTAGTAACTATTGGTATTAATGGAAGCCTGAAAAGCAGCAAACCAGTACTTGAATCACTAACCAATACATATAGTTTGGAAAGTTATTTGGCTGTATTCTATAAATTCTCTCAACTAAAAAGCACACTGGATGTTAAATGTGTGAGATTTGAAAAAATTAAATGTTTAGAAGAAAGTTCTACTGAATCTGAAGAACTCTCCTTTCTATGGTAATAAAACTTTCCTTACATCAGGTAAAGTAAGATCTTTATGAAAGTTAATCTAATTCTGAGATGTCTAAAATAATCAGCTTCTGTTAAATTTTTTCTGGCATGAGACAGTTGCCCTCTCTGAATGACGCTACCCCACCCCCTTTTCTTCCCATTTTCTGTGCAGTAGCCTAATCTCTAGAGGCCTTTGTTTCCTTTTCAAGGTTTAAAATTTGAGAACCATTGCTTTGAACTCAGTATATTTTTTTTTAAATATTTTTATTTATTTCTAGGAGAGAGAGCGAGCGAGCAGGGGAGTGTCAGAGAGATAGGGAGACACAGACTCTGAAATAGGCTCCTGGCTCCGAGCTGGCAGTCAGCACAGAGCCCGACGCGGGGCTCGAACCCACGAACCGCGAGATCATGACCTAAGCGAAAGTCGGACGCTCAACCGACTAAGCCACCCAGGCGCCCCTGAACTCAGTATGTTTTAAGCCATTATTTTCCCTCTGCACGTTGGCTGTGCATTCCAGTTGCCCCATTTCTGACTCTGATACCACTACTCTAATCTTCTGGGGTAGGTTTTCACATCCTTGAGTCATTTTAACTCTTCCTTCTCCTTGTCCAGTGCCACTCTGTCCCACAATTATGTCATTATATCTTTTTAAATGTCTATTAGATTTTTCATTTTCTCCATTTCTACTGGCACCACTCTAGGTTGCCATCATCTCCACAGTCTGCCACCTCTCGCCACTCCAATCCATCCTGCATGGTGTTCCAAACTAATTTTATTAAAATACAGTTTAATCATCTTACTTTCCTGCTGAAAAACCTCCTGTACTAGATCTTAATTCAGATCTGAATTGTTATGCTCTCTTCTTCCAGCCTCAGAGGTCAAGGAACTCCTTCACTTGTCCAGAGCTCACCACACCTCTTGTGCCTTCTATACCCTTCTCTTCCTGCCTCCTCCCAAATCTTGCTCCATCAGGCAGCCCCATCTTTCTAATATTACCTCTCTCTGCATCAGTCTATAAAAATACTCAGAGTCTCTTTCATTCTTTAAAAACAAAACAGAGGCACCTGGGTGGCTCAGTCGGTTAAGCATCTCAGGTCATGATCTCACAGTTCATGGGTTCAAGCCCTGGGTCAGGCTCTGTGCTGACAGCTAGCTCAGAGCCTGGAGCCTGCTTCAGATTCTGTGTCTCCCTCTCTCTCTGACCCTCCCCTGCTCTTTCTCTCTCTCTGTCTCAGAAATAAAACATGAAAAAAATAAATAAATAAAACAAAGCCTTCCTAGACCTATGGTCCCCTTTAGCTACTGTCTTGTCTTTCTTCCTTCCTTCTCCAAATTTCTTAATAGCTACATTCACCATATCTATTTCCTTTTCACCCCTCTCTAACCTGGATTCTGCCATCATGACCACAAATGGGGGGAACTAGCCTTGTTAAGATCACCACCATGATGACCCTTTGTTGCTACATTAGTGGGATTTTCTCATTCCCTGTCTTTCTGGTCCCCTCTGCTTTATATGATGCTTAAAATGACTCCCTCTTTTTTGGAGGCTTCTGTTCCAGGGGTCACAAACAAGCCTTCAGAGGTAAGACAGGTCACAGAAAATGGTGCAGCATTAATAATGATGGGGCTTTAGTTGAACTGGAAGGTGGTATATGTTTTGCCTAATGATATTCAGATTCTGCGTTTGTAAAAACGTTGTTGCAATCAAACAAACCTAGGAATTCCTTGGCCATTTTACTTTCCTGGGCTCCCTGTATTTTTCTGGCTATTCTTTAACTCTCTCATTCATGGGCTTCTCTTATTCTCTTGACCCTTGAATACCAGAGGTCTCTGAGGTTTTGTTCTCAACTTGCTATTCTCATCTCTGCCTAGATGATCTTATCTTGATTATCATGGTTTCAATTATCTGACATCTCCCAAACATGTATCACTGTGCCAGACTTTACTCAAAACTTCACCTGGGCTTCCTCACCTGACAGCCCACTATCATCCTAAATTCAACATATTCATAACAGAACTCATCCCCCTCACACCCCCTTATACCTCTATCCCAACCCTTTTTTTTTTTTATTTGGAGTTTATTTTATTTTATTTTATTTTTTTTTTTACAAATAGTTTATTGTCAAATTAGTTTCTACATAACACTCAGTGCTCATCCCCAAAGTGCCCTCCTCCATGCCCATCCCCCCCTCCCCCCCCCCTCCCTCCGTCCTCCGTTTTTGTCAGCATTCAAGAGTCTCTCATGGTTTGCCTCTCTCCCTTTCCCCCACCATTTCCGCCCTTCTTCTCCCCCTTGTTCCTCCGTCAAGTTCCTCCTAATCCTCCTATACATGCAAACATACGATATTTGTCCTTCTCTGCCTGACTTATTTCGCTCAGCATAACACCCTCAAGGTCCATCCATGTTGCTACACGTGGCCAGATTTCATTGTTTCTCATTGCCATGTAGTATTCCATGGTATAGATAAACCACATCTTCTTGATCCATTCATCTGTTGATGGACACTTAGGCTCTTTCCATGTTTTAGCTATTGTGGAGAGTGCTGCTATGAACATTGGGGTCCATGTGCTCCTATGCCTCAGCATTTCTGTATCCCTTTATCCCAACCCTTTTTAAAAAATCCCTCCTGTATCTGTTTTTTCCATCTCAGTTAAATGTACCTCCACCTATCCCATTATTTATCTTTGGTTCTTCTTCCTAACTTACACTTACCAGCAAGTAAAATAATATTGGACCTAAAAATTTCTTCTTTTCCTCCCTACTGGCACTTCCCTGATTTGGGCCCCTTTCACCACCCTAACTAATCAACTTGCCTTTATCGTCGTTACCTTCACATCCATTCCCCAGCCTGCTGCTAGATTAAGATACCACTGTACTGCTTAAGACTGTTCTGTGGTTTTCCGCTTACCTGCTGGACAGAATCCAAGCTCCATAACATGGCATATAGAACTGGACCTTGCCTATCTGTCAGCCTAATCTTCTGATATTTCC